CTAGATCGGATCTAGAGATTGAGAATTTAGGGTTTATAGAACAGAATTGAGGATTTAGGGATTTGAGAAGAGAATTTGGGATTAAGAGGTAGAATTTGGGAAAGAACGGGAAAGAATGACCGGCGACCAGATTAGGGAAAGAAAAGAAATTGAGAGGATTTGGGAGAGAATAGGGTTTAGGGGTTTTCTTAATATGCTTCTCATTGATACCGAATGAATAAGTAAGGTACATATTTATAGGGAATTCTAGAAAACCCTAATAATAAACCTAATTCTATTAAAGGACTACTAACCATATTTAATAAAACCTAATAATAATGATAATATAGAAACTCGTTTTCCTTAGAAAACGTGTTTCTAACACCTTGTACATATATAGGAACGATAACTATCCATTGTTCAGTACATGAGAAGTTAATGCCCCTCTCCAACCCCAAGTTCACTGACGGCGGCTTATCCTCTATCTAATAAGGTGGTAAAACTCTTTTAACGTAACTCTCGTCTGGGGTTGACCTCATAGGTGACCTAGGACGTTGTACCTCCTAACGTTGTATCTCTTACTTTCTTCCTTGATGCTTCGCCTTATCCTTTAACCATAAACTGAGTGGTCATCTCATCGTTACTTCTTGCTTAATTCTGAAACCTCATATTACAGCTTTTACCTCCTGTATGCATTAGAGGCATCCTTTGCATCTTTCTCTAGATTGCGATCACCTTTATGATTCCTTTCAAGAATCATGGCATTCTCTCTGGCTTACTCGTTCACTCCTGGCACCTAACTTAGCACTTACTTATCGCTGCTTGAATTTTATGTTCTTGTACTATCCATTCTGCTACTCTTAGACCCTAGTTGAAATTCCTCATGCGGTTTACCCGTCCAATAGAGTTTTACCCAAGAGATTGACACATTTCACCAACATAGGCAACCTTGGTTTCACTTTGGGGTATTCTAACAGGTTCCCTAAACTTATATCCCTCTCACTTCATTACTCGTGACTCTTCCTAACTATTTTTCTTTATGCAAGCATTGCCCAGTCGACGAAATATTTTCTATAACGTCCTATGGTGTTCTCCTTGCGTCTTTACTTTCACTACCCTTCTGTTGAGGTTTTTGTACTATATTTGTTCACCAAACTCCGTTGAGTATCTTCTCGTTATTATTTGGATCAAAGCTTCCAATAGAGGATTTCCCTGGTAGGCTTTAACATACCTCATTCATGTCATATGTCTCGATTGAAGCCTGCATATGGCCTTAATCTCATAGTCTGCCTTCTTAGTAGCTTAACTGAGCGTGTCTTACTTATCCTTAACTAGCCGCTTCCTCTGGATGACACCTTACTATGCCGCTCCCACTCAGAGTGAGGCACCTTGGGTAAGGTAACTTAATGATTTCCTCCTTCTTGGTAATGTTTTTCCCTTCATACTCCACTATGCATTTTCTTGAACCCGAGTCACCTACACATATTCTCAATCCTTCATCGGAACTTCCATGTGCTTCCTTGAATCCTATGCCATTCACTAGAACATTTACTAAATGTTCCACTTACTTGTCTATACTCGGTTGGCTTAATGACTTACTCCTAAGCTGTTTCCGAGACTCCAGCTCTTAGCCCTCTAGTTCCAACTTATTACAGAGGTTCCTCCTTCTGTCAACCCTCATGTACCCTAGGTGGCTAGGTGTTCCCTCCATTTAGGATAGAACAATCCCATAACAGATCATCACGAACTATTGCATTCTCCTTTCAACGGTCCCAACGACCTCCGGACCTTTCATGATCTAGGTAGTTTGTAGAGTCTCTCATATACCAATCCATCCTATTTCTAGCTTGGCATTGTTAACAAGCACATTATTCTTGATCCAAGCTCGTCCTCTACCTCGATCATCTTGACTCTTGTCTTGTTCCTTATAAAGGCTTGCTACCGGCCTAATTGCCCAGGTCATGTACCCTCTTCGCGAGTGACGTAGTTTATCTACAAGGGTTCCTTTATCGTCATTATGTAAATGACCATGACTCCTCTCCGCCTTGACCTTTTAACTTCTTGACGTCCTTTCATACCCCATGTAGCCTACTTATTTCCTCCTTTGCTTCCTTTATACTACCCTAGCATTTCTTAAAGTCTAAACATTCTTCTACTCCTTGTCACTGTGTGGTAATGGCATTGAGCCATCGACCCCAAAAACTAGCTGAGGGACTTCTCGGGGTACCTCTTCGTTTCTTGACCCGTTGCCCACTTTCCACTGCTTTAGGACCAAAGACCCTAACATCATCCTAGTATCATAGCTACTGGCATCTGGTGATTGTTCCTCTTCCTTTGGAGATTCATATTTCTCCCCTTTGTTTGTCTTAGCTTATTAGATCATCCACTTGTTCCCTAGTAGTAAAATCCTCGTACTACTATCTAAACTCCTTCCAAATCCTTGAGGTATTCCCTTTCAATTGGCACCTCTTTGCTGGTGTTTGGAGTTGAAGTCCTCGCACATTTGATTCTACCTCCACAGACCTTTGCAATGTTCCTCCTTCCTTCTCTAGGTTGATGATGATGATCTGTTTGCTAACGCCCGAGTAGTTGGTTAACTAATTGAAAAACTACTATCCATCATGTCGATGAGATACTTGGTCTTGAGAGCCTTTGAGATTCTACTTGGGTTGGTCACATTTCTTTCATCCTTTCTTTCTTACTGGCGATCACCATATGCCTAAATCTCTCATTTGACAAACCATGACATGCTAACTAAATCGCGTCCTAGCCTATTCTTAAACAATCGCACCCCGGCTACCATCCCTTCGTGTCGTGCTGTCATAGTTATTCACCTTAATATGATTAGAGTAGACTGGAGATTCTATAAACTCTTAAAAGAAGATCCTTGACTCGTTTTCCTTTCCTTTAAAACAAAAGCCTTTAAAACTGAGACCAATATTCCAGTATTCCTTGGAGACCAAGAAACAGAGGAAGACAGGCTCTGATACCAAAATGTAACACCCTAACCCGGCCGGGTACTACTTTACTTTTTTCGATTGGGGCTCCAGTATATCATCAAATAAATAGCTTAATTCCTATGGAAAGGAACAAACCTAAATTTTTCCAAATCTACATTTACGACACTGACAATAAACTCCAAAACAGATTATATTTTTTTCTTCCCCAATTCTCTAACCCGAACCATAAATTTCATTTAAACTAAAAAATAATAACCGACGATTCTGATGTATTGAAATATATCAAAACATAACAAGTGTGAACGCAAGTGTATAGCGTACTTAGGCGTACGCTAGCCTTTGTCATATATATTTACTATTCAAACCAAGAATTAATCGGAGTTTGGGGCATGATATTATACCCTAACCTCTAATGAGAGAACCAAGTCCCCAATACTCTAAACCAAACCATAAAATTCATTTAATCTAAAAAATAGTAACTGACGGTTTTGATTCATCAAAATATATCAAAGTACATGTAATAAGTGTGAATGTGTGACGTAGGCTAGCCTTTGCCATATATATCATCCAAGTTTAATGACTGTGCAATATCTCAAATTATTCCCACATGGTGAGGATGAATGAAACCCAAATATTTCATATTCTAGCTCTAAGGATGCAGATGGACTCAATGAGAAGAATATGATCTAATGTGGTTTTTACAGTTATAAACTGCAAACAAGAATGCAAGAATCAAGCTCATTGTTATTATGTGTAAAGTTGTTCCAACGATATGTTCTTATTGCATACGCATTGGTTGAGACTGAACATTTGGATTGGATTAACAACAAACAAACAAAGCTTTGACAACATTAACACCAAGGTATGAATCCTTAATTCATGTTTGTTTGTTAATTATTATTTTCCAATTTATATTATTATTGACATTTTTTTTCATTATCGATGCAATGACAATTTAATTTCAAAATTGCAGTCTACATCATGCTCATTTATTAGTTTTTGTAGCTACGGAAGATAAATTATATGATCCTTAAATATATTAATTATATGGTCTTTTAAAAATAGATTCAATAATATCTGCTGAAATTCCACATCCGGTAGCAAATTCTGAATGTTATAAAGCATTTACAAATTTTATGTTTTATGGTCCCTTTGGCATTCACGGACCTAGAGCTCAATGTCTAACTAATAGTGCCAATTATGGAAAAATAAAACAAATCCTGAATATTGTCCATAACTTTGAGGTAAATTCAACTCCAATGAAAAAGATGATTTGTATTTGTAAATATTTTATCATTAAATTTTAGTGATCAATAAAATGCAGGAAAACAGGGAAGAAATTAATGAAATGCAAGAGAAGAAGGATGAGGCAATTGATAATGCAGATAAATGTGTCACTAATGGAGATGATGATGTTGCTCATGGCGGAGGAAACAAGTTAAAAAGAAAACGTGAAGTAATATCTGATGATAATGACTAAATAAAAAGGTGATTTGAAAACGTCTTTAGAGCATCCACATTGGTTCCCTTGTTTGGGGTTTGTCTTCCATATCGTAAAATAAATTTTTGTTGTTGAGTCATTAGAATTTCGGAAAACGGTATGATCTATTTGAATTGCTTAAGTGTTTTAATGTCTTCAGGAGTCGGTTCTATTTCATGAGGATTTTCTTCTATTTTCATAAAAGGATTTTAGTTGATGAGTCATTATAATGTCAGAAAACAGTATGATCTTCTTTTATCATTTTGAATTGTTTAAGTAATTTAGACTCTCTTATTCTACCTATCAATTTAAATTTTACGAGTATTTGAGTTATTAAAATTTTCTTAGACCACCAATAAACATATATCTCGCATATAAATTGCTATTATTATTTACGTGATAGGCGACTGAATCCGACCAACTGGTCGGGCAGTGAAGTATTAAACAAATTTTTGGTTATGTCACGTTATCATATAAGAAGCTATAGATTAACTTAGTTAACAGGCTTGGGCCTGGTAAGGGCTTGTATCCACCTAGTCTAATAATGCTTTCCTGCCTTGGGCCCGTGTAGAAACAGTCCAGTAAATCGGACACCCGAAATTTACTAAACGGAGTCTCGACGGGCCATACCTGAGCTGAGCGATCGAACTGCCCGTCGATTAAACCCAGGGTACCGGCTTCCGATCATCCCTTCCCTTCCTCTGAATCCTCTCTCTAACCGACTTGCGGAGCGATGGCGGGAAAGCCGAACCCCGCCGACATTCTCACGGCGGACTTCGCCGGGATGACCAAGAACCAGCTCTATGACATCATGTCTCAGATGAAGGCGAGTTATCTATTTCTCCCTCTCTTTCTGAATTCCCCTTTCGGCTCTTTGTGTTTTCGATTCATTCCTGGAAACCGTCAATTGAACTGCCGTACATTTGTTTGCTGTTCATACATCTTCAATGCAGACGTTGATAGAGCAGAACAGACAGCAAGCAAGGGATATCCTCATTCAGAACCCTCTGTTGACAAAGGCACTTTTCCAGGTCTTGAGTTCTTCTCCTATGTTAAACTTAGCTTCATGGGTTAGTTTGTCTCCTTGTGTCCGGAACTTAAGAGGAAGAGGGGACTGGAATGTTGTTTGCTGATTTTATTGCAAGGATTGAGCTTTGAATTGTGAAAATTAGTCTGCGTTTGTTATTGCCAAATGATTAGGGTTTTGTTTGAATCCTCGTCAATGCCTAGGAATTGTGAAAATTAGTCTGCGTTTGTTATTGCCAAATGATTAGGGTTTTGTTTGAATCCTCGTCAATGCCTAGGAATTGCATGTCCATACTCATTTTGTAAGACTTCATCCCATTTTGGGTGTAGTGTGAGGAACTGCCACTTTGATTTGAAGCATTTGGAAATCTGAGTATCTGAATCATTTCACTTTTAGCGAAGCCTGATTTTGCTACTTAGTGAAAGTAGGTTGGATGGAGAGTGTGTGATATGAATGGTTGAGGTCGGAGGGGATGTAATCATTGATATGCTTTAACTTCATGGAGGATTCCGGATAATTCAAGTTTAATTATCAACAAGTCCTTGAACCGATAACCATCTTTCGGCTAACCTAGCCTCCTCCGTCCCTCGGGACCAACAAGGGGTAGTACAAGAATATTCACCTGTTGTCCATCGACTACGCCTTTCGGCCTGATCTTAGGCCCTGACTCACCCTCTGTGGATGAATCTTGCGGAGAAAGTGGTAATTTGAAAGATTTCCCGGTGGAAAAATAGAGATGTCTCCTACGTTACCCCTAATATATATGTGGAAGTATCGACGTAATTTCATAGAGTCATTGTTACATTACTGGTGATTTCTCTGCTTACTGCGTACATTCTTCAGTAAATCTTACAAGAGAGTGTGTAAAAGTTGAGCTGATGAGAAATGACCAAATTTGGTTTGCTGGTTAAATACAATGACATTCCACCAGAAAACAAGACCATAGCGTTTTTATCTCAGCTTGTTTAGAGCACAGCATCGTAGTTGCACCACCAATTTTTATGACAATTCTCATTTATATGTACCCCTTGTTTGGACAGGCTCAAATTATGCTGGGAATGGTCCAACCTCCTCCAGTGGTATGTCCTTAATCTTTATAGATCCATCATATTGCCAAATCTCTGCACGAGCTTAACAGATTTTTCTTTGTAGGTTCCTGTGATCCCGGCAACGACATCACAGAAGCCTCAGCAATCAGCACCACCCACTCAGATGTCAAACATTTCGACTTCACAGCAAGGACAAATGGGCAAGCAGGGGCAACAAGCTGGATCAAACATGCAGCATCAGATGAGAAAGCAACACCAGAATCAGCCTGCAGTAGTGCCCTTAGCTTCTTCCTCTTCTGCTCCACCTATAAATCTTCCATCCCAGACCTTGCCTTTGCACACCTTACAGACCCCACAACAGTCGAAAGGACATGTTAATCCTCAAATGCCAGGGCTGCAATCTTCTCAGATTCCTAACTTACCTCCACAGCCACCCCAACTTCATCAACCCCAATTGGCTACTGGTCAGCTGCAACAATCATTGCAGACAAGTGGCGGAATCCCGCACATGGCACTGCAACCACCAATGCCACCCCAGCCTAGACTTCCGCCGCCACATTCTATGCCGGGTTACAATCATCAATATCAACCACAGATGGGATCCAGTATGGGCTTCCAACATGGTGGCAGTCATCAACATCCTTCACAACTCATGTTTCATGTAAGTTGGAGACTTCTTAAAGCACAGTTTGTAATTAACATTTTGAAAAGACACTTTACAATAATAAGACTTAAATTGTTTTAGTCAGGTAATAGAACTCAAAATCCAGCAGTGCCATCATATTCCCAGGGACAGCAGCAACCTATTCCAAGCCAACCGCCACCACCTCCTCCTCAATCCCTATATCAGGTATCAGGAATTTTTTCTGGCTTTCCCCATCTTGACGCCTTGGTGTGTGCTTTTTAGTGGGTTTTCTTGTCCATAATGTTTATCTGAAATGTTCTGATTTACTCTTTTGCCGAATCTAGACTTGAGTATATGCTTGCAGCCCATCATGATGTGTCAATAAGTAGATTGAATAAGGGACATTGATATGCCTAGGATTTGTAGCTCAAATTAGGATAGGTAGGTTACCTTCTGGAATTTGATGAAAATAATGGAGAAATGGGTATCTGGGGACTTCAGAGTCCAATACAAGAACTGGGCGTTGTTTCGGAATCCACTAAAAAAAAATAGGAGGCGAAAGAATCCATGAAGTCTTAAGTTCATATAACTTGCTCCCAAGCTCATGCAGTTACTCTTTTCTAGAGTCGCGGAGAACTTGTAGATGTCCTTTGGGTAGATGAATCGTGTAAAATAGATTTATTTTGATATGGATAGATCGCAAAGATGTATTGTTTGGATTAGTATTTTTCAGAATAGGATTGTGAATGATGGATTTTCCTAGTAAAAACGAGATGTGATTGAAAACAATATTACAGGGTGGAGGAGGTTCACACATGACGGGGGAGTTCAACAATCAGGGTGGAAGCTCAATGCAAGTAGATCGAGGATCTGGTTGGATGTCTTTGCCTCCAGATAGCTCATCCGCAGCACAGGTTCCTGGCAATCAAGCAGCTCGTGCTGCCCCGGTAACCCCCAAAATCCTACCATCCCCACTCCCCTCCCCTTTCCTTTACAGCCATTGTATTTCAAGTGTTGATGGTCTCCTAAGGCTCCTCTTGTGCATTTTCTTTTTGTGTGATACAGTTGACCCCTGATATGGAGAAGGCACTACTTCAACAGGTAATGAGCCTGACACCGGAACAGATCAATCTCCTGCCCCCTGAGCAAAGGAATCAAGTGCTTCAGCTGCAACAGATGCTCCGCCAATGATCGCAACATCAGAAAGTCTTGACGCACTTGGTCTTTTCCTAGCGTATTTGGTCTACAGATATGAATGGGCTGAATGCAGAATTCGAGAGAAGACGATTACTATAATCCATTATCTGTTACTGTTCCATTAGCATTGTTATTGTACTGCGGCTGGTTATCTATTCGTATTACAGTGTAATGTTGGATTTTATTATTTTTTTGTGTGGAGAGAACAGTGTAATGTTGCTGGTAGCCTTTAGTGATGACAATGGGGCCAGATATAGGCGTCAATTATCCTGCCGTAACTAGTTTGGATTTTATCAAGAGAATGGACATGAATGAAGCCTTACATCGTACTACATTTTACAACACGAAATTACCAGACATGAATGACATAACAGTATCAAATAGGGTAAATTGCAAGGTTGGTCACTAGAAGTGTTAAAATGTTAACGTTTGGTCACTAAAAGAATTTTATTCCATTCGTGGTCACTGGAAGTGCTTAACGTTTCACAATTGGTCACTCTCCGTTAGTCTCCATCCATCTCCGTTAACATCGTTAGTATTTTGCTGACGTGGTTAACAGCAGTGCTGATTCACCCAATTTAAGCCTGCCACGTCATAAAATTTGACCAGCCACGTAAGAAAAACCGCCACATAAGAAAACCCCACATAATTCAACCAAACCACATAACCCGACCCCTGCCTCTCCTCTTCTTTTTCTTCCACATTTAAATCTCCATCTCAGTTTCTTCTTCTCCTTTCATTGCTGCCTCGTCAATCATCATCATGGAAATTTCTATTGGATGAGGAATCAGACTCCGTCTCGCCTAGATTCAAGAAATTTCTCTCAACCCACTTCTCCTTATGACAATCTGAACAACCAAACCCATCTTGAATTGAGCGGAGAAGACAATTTTTTGCACTTTTGGCCAAAAAACCAGAGTGGACCACGATTGGGAGCTGTTGAGGTTTTGCTCACGCTGGAGGGGGGAAGAATCAGGAACATAGCATACCACGATTGGGGATCTGGTATGAGAATAAGGATCCAAAGAGGCGATCTTCTAACGATTCACCAACGGCGGTGGAAGATTTTGCAGTAGATATTCTTCTTGGCCAGCCGTCGTCGCTTGCTTCTCATCTTCGCCTCTTTTAAAGCTTCCGAGAAACCCAGATACTGAAATCGTTTGACCTGTGTTTGTGGTGATTCGTCGTGCTCATCGAGATGGCATAGCATCTCCCCACGCACATGTTCACCCCGTAAAATCTAGACTCATCGACGATGTCTTCGTACCAGATGCAGAGGTGGAAGGACAATGGGTTCTGCAAATTTTGTTGGTGTTGCGATTCGCTGACTCTATGACAGATTCAAGCAATGTCTGGCCATGATTGATGAAGCGGCAGCTGATGGTGGGAGAAAAGAAAGATGTGAGTGGATTTAGTGTTTTAAGTGGGGTGGAATAGAGGAAGAAGAAGAGGCGCGATGAAGAAGAACTACGGTGGCCTCTGACGTATTTTGCAGAAAAGGGAAGAGGAAGAGTCTGGGGAAGAAGGAGATGGATCGGGAAAATGGCCCCTCTGTTTCTTCAATTTTAATTTTATTGGGTTATTCTTAAGTCAGCTCATTTCACGGGTTTGGTTGGGAGAAATTTGACATGGCAGGTCGGGTCTCTTTTTTTCTGGTTAAATTAGGCTGATTGGGCAATTCTGTTAGCCACGTCAGCAGATAAAGGACTTTGTTAACGGAGACAGGCGGAGACTAGCGGAGAGTGACCAATCGTGAAACGTTAAGTACTTTCAGTGACCACGAATGGAATAAAATTCTTTTAGTGACCAAACATGAATATTTTAGCACTTTCAGTGACCAACCTTGCAATTTACCCGTATCAAATACACAAGTAGAAACCCTCATCACATAATAAGTTGCAAAATTTGGCATATTTCTCATCTTTTTCCGTATGTACAACAAACGGCATACTATGTTACAAACTAAATCCAGCAAGTGAAGCATCAACTGTTTGCTCATTTGCCGTGGCCATGTTACAAGCACCAATGCATATACCATCCTAACACGTGGAAAACACGGCATGATTATTGGAAGTGATCACTGCGTACTTTCAGACCAATAAAATTCAGAATATGAGGAAAAGGAAATATGCTCATTCAGGGAAGTAGACACTTCCCGATCAATGCAAGAACTAGTTTTGAAAAGTTCGATGAATACCTGCATATGAAGATGAACATTGGGAAGGAGACATCCAGTTGTTAAAGAGGTTTGGATGAGCTTTTAGATATCATGTGCCAAGATATCGTCGCTATTCTCAGAATCCGAAGACTCGAAATCTTCGTCTTCCCAGTCAAGATCCTCTTCTTCCCCATCATCATTGCTGACATCCTCATCAGATGCTATATATGAAGCTTCATCCTCTACCTGAATATCCACAGAAACCTTGTTATAAAATTGAATCCGCAGCAATTTGAAGAAGGTAATTTCATCGTTGTAAAAACTGAATAAGAAATAATCAAGCTAAGATCCAATCCTGCAATCAAACACATGAATACTAATTCCACATATATGAGAAGGAAACTTTCTCCGGATCTCACTTCCTTATGTCTTCTGAACATGAACACCCCTAGAGCTAGAGTACTGATGCATATAACATCAACAAAACAGGGAGGACAGTGTCTTACTTCAGTGAAGTCTGAGTTAGAATCTACCAATAGTGATGCACCTGTGCTCCAATTATCAGAACTTTCATCCTCTGATAAACCCTGCACAATATTAAACAAAATGATACTAGTCAGCCTTGCTTTTCTTTTTTGCTTTTAGCAGGATAGGAAAATGTTATGTTTTTGGTGGAAAAGCCAGGATAATAAAAGGGGTACATACAATTTCGGCTTTCAATTGTTTTATTGTGTGCTCCAGCTCAAATATGTGCTGACTTAGAGCCTGCATCATTTTGCACATTATAATTAATTTCCAAGCTTCGTTAATGGGACAGCAAGAAAAGGAATATGTTGAAGATAGAACCTCGTGGCGTTGCATTGCTACGAAACGCTTCAATGCTTTTGCTTTTGTAAGAAGATTTCTTGGTCTCAAGCTAATGGGACGGTGGTAATTCTTCCCACGATAGTAAATGAGAGCATAACCTTTTGGTACTCTTTCTATTGCCACTAGTATCCCACCACTCTCATATTCCAGCAGTCTAGCTGTATCTTCAACAAATGTCATTGTCTTCTGTTTGGTTATTAGCTTCACAACCTCTCTATACTTCCAATGCAAATGCATGTTCTCAATAACTCCATCAAAAACACCACGAATGCCTGTCAAATGAATGTGCAGAAAGAATGAGCTTTTCCATTTGAAGTTCACCAAATAAGCTTCTTAATACCACTTACCCATAGGCAAGTATGGCTTCATTCTTAGCCCAATTTTCCTGAACACAATCCTTTCCTCATCAGTGATTGTTTCTCTATCATAATCTGGATCAGCAGGAACCATGGAGGCTTCTATCTTTGATAACAATTTCTCGGCTCTAAGCTTCTTGCTGTTAGCCTATGCAGAAATTCAAAGATGAACCATAAACAGAAATCAGAAATTCAAAGATTAAATGAAGTCAAGGAAATGAACTAAACCAGTAAAGGAAGAAGGAAGTTAAAATGCTATGCTTTGATCGGATAGCATGATATATTGTGTTATCTCTCTTTGCCGTAACTCATGATGACCAGTATGATTAAACATTTTCACCCTGCTATTATATTTTACTTTCCTTGAATGCAACAGCCATAAAAAGTCTAGTTTCCTGATGAGGCAATGCAGAAGATAATAAACTTACATTAGCTAGCTTATGCTCGATTCGTCTGACGAGCCGAGCAGTTTTAGCTTTGGCAGCTTCTTCAACCATCTTTTCATGCTCTTCTACAGATGTATCTCTTCCCCATCGTGCTTGTGCTTCATAAAACTCTGCCAAGGTCCCTGCAAGTGCATTTCCTTCACCTTCTTTGCCTGATGGTGATGCCTCTAGGTTGCTTCTTAATTTCTCTTCATTGTCTTGAATTTGCTTGGTCATTTCTTGCCTCTCAGCCAATTGTGAAGCTACATTTGCAGGCAGGAAATCCTTCCCACGGAAAATGACAATATAATATTTGTTTCTAAGCAACAGGACGCCTCCTGTTAATTGCTGCAAGAGTAGAGAAACCTTCAATAACAATTCCATCATCATTTGGTTGACATGTACATATATCTTCTCCTTTCTTTTCTGGTGAACACATCAATAACCAGCATAATATATTAATCTTGGGAATATTTGAGACCCAGAGAAAATATATTGTGGCAACCAATATAAACCATCCACAAGACCTTATTGAAGCAAACAGCTCATACAGAGACATAATTCAGAGCCTATAGTATATCAGAAAACCAACGAAAGGTCCACATGGTAATATTGATTATCAATTTTCTATGACTTCAAACTTGTGAGAACCCCGCTTCTAGGGATCCTCGATACTGATCTTCGGCACTCGTGATAATTAGGGATTTAGGGTTTGAGAGAAAGAATTAGGGATTTAGATGAGAAAGAATCGAATTGGGAATCGGCCGAGGCCTTGGACTAGGATGAGACGAGAAATTAGGAGTTGAGAGGATAAACTAGGGTTTAGGAGACTTTGCTTAATATTCTGTTTGATTGATCATGAGGTAAACCCAAGGTACATATTTATAGGGAAATACTGGAAACCCTAATAATAATCCTAATACGACTAAATCTCTACTAACCATAATTATAATTATCCTATTGATAAATAATAAGAGAAACCCCAATAAATGTGTTTCTCACAAAACTACTCAAACATCACACTACAATAATGTGAATCCATAAGATGCATCCAACTTTGAGAAACCTGGGTTGAGGACTATTGGGCAACCTTCATTTTATCCCCCTGTCATGAAATGAAAAACATAAGGCCTACAACTCACATTTATTTCCTCGGCCATTAGCTTGTTATTCGTATTCTGTATCCCTCGCTTCACAGCAATTTTCACAATTAGGCTTTGCTCCCACAGTTTGAGTATTGCAACTGCCAGCCCTTGATGGTTTCGGTTCCTCCCTGGTGAAAGTAAAGAACAAGTGCCAAAAGTCAGTAAGCGAACTGAACATCTGAAAATTCAGGTATTCAAGGAAGACAGACACAGCATTACCAAGGGCAAAATGACAGGGAAGTGATTTAGCAAGTTTTCTCAAATTAGTCATCTCAACATTGGTAAGGCGAGGCCTCATTCCAGTAGGAAGACACCTAAAAGGCGTCATGTAACCAGGAACTTTAGGTGGAAGTAAATCAGCATCCACGGGAAGCACTCCAGTACCCCACCACGCCTCATAACGGGCCCCTAAACCATCCAAGAGCTTGTTATATTCGATTTCCTGCTCAGTCAAGGTCTCAGTCAGTTGTGGTGGCCTCACAACTGGTAGTATAGACTTCTCTGGATCTGGCAATGCCGCCTCATCACTTTTGAATGAATCAGCAGATGACACATCTGGAATGAATCGAGATTCCTCTTCTTTCCTAGCCAATTCTGAAGTAGATTTCGGCCCTTGGTAATTAGCTCCTCGATAAACAATCATAACACTTCCTGCCCTCCATAAAACTAACCCTCCTGTACGACGCTGATGATTAATACAAGCAGTTAGCCTTAGATATCAAATTCAATAACTAAACTAAGCGCATAACATGTTACATAATAAGTTGAGCTAACATATCAACAGTTAATCACTACAGTCAGACTGAGCAAGCAAAAAACGAAAACATAGTTCCTTACTCTACAATTGTTCACATTATCCAAGGTCATCAAGAACAAAGCTACAGAAAGCTGATACAAAAGCCACCAACCTCGACAATCTCGTGGCCAGTTTTCATGTCATGTGCGAGAAACTCATGGAACTTGAGCCTAACCAGCTCAGCTTTTCGCCATTTATCATGAATCTTCTCCAAAACTTCCTGGGTGATCCCAGCTTTTGGCACATTGATCCTCTCTCTCAAAGTCATGCCCATCCTTCTCAGCCTTCTCAATTCTTCATCATCAATTGTCAGTTCGGCCAAAGTCGGAGCCTTCGGTCTCCTCTTCCTTTCCCTCCCTCCATCTTCCTCCCTTCCCTGCATCTCCTTCTCTTTCTCTTCTCTCTCCCACGGCAACGCCATTTCATCGTCACTGTCATCGTCCTCATCCAAAACAGTGTCCGGCCTAATCCACTCCCGCTTCAAAAGATCCGCCAGTCTCTCCTCCCCATTAACCGGCGGCAACTCGGCGGTCAGAATCCGGGTTTCCTCCCTCCCTTCTTCTCCTCCTCCTTCCTCGTCGTCAGGACCCAAACCCAAATTTCTCAACCGAAGCACGATTCTCTCAATTGCAGTCTCCCCTTTCTCCCTCGCCAAATATCGAGCCTTCTCCTCGTTCACATTCCGGCTGACCTCTTTCTTGGGAGAACCTCGAACCGAATTCCCCTTCGGAGGCCACTTGGACAACCAGGTGGAATTTGGGGAATTGGAGTTTCTCGATTTCGGGTTCTGGGTTCTGACGTACTTGTTGGTTCGCAGCGAGGAGCAGAAGGGTTGTCGGAATTCCCGAAATGAGGGTTTTGTGAAGAAAGAGGAGTGGCCTCTGAGTGGGAGCTCTGATAATTTAGCAGTCGCAAAGCTCATGACTTTGAACGATATTGGAAAATGCCCAGCTATGGCGATTTTAGCATTTGAGAATCTTATCCCTGTTTCGAATGCAGGAACAAAATGGAAGGAAAGTTGGGATGAACACTCCCAGGTAGGGGTGGGCATTGGGTGGGTCGGGTGGATTTTGACCATAAAATGCACCCACCCGCGCTTAAACGGATTGTTAATTTTTAACCCACCATCCACCCACATTTAGTCTCGGGTTGGGTCGGGCGGATGGTGGATGATGCGGGTGGGTTTGTGGGTTCACCCATATCACAATGTATATAATATAAAGGAGTTAACTTGACATGATAATAGGTGAAGAGAGTTATCGGGGGAAACAAGAAGATGAAATAGGGCGAAAAATGTCGAATTAGTTCTTAAATTGGATAGAAATTTTATTATGAAAGAGTAATCTACAGATTAAGATGATTATCAGGTGCAAAGAACTAAGGAAAATAATTCCACAAAGGAAAAAGCGGTGATCTAGGCACAAGAATTAGAGGAGAAAATAAAGAGAAGAAGAGGGGATCACTATTTGGAAGGTTGACTTTGAGGTTCAAACTCCAGGAGCAGTCCTAGTTTATGTCTAACGTCTCCACTCTCCCCTCTCTAGCACCAACAACTTTGATCTTTTTGCTGTTGGGTTGAGCGGGTCACCCGCGCACCCACCCACAACTCACACACCACCCGGTGGATGGCTCCCAGCGCAACCCGTCACCCACCCACAGACCCACCCACTTAACGAAATTCGGGTCAAATGCGGGTGGGTCGGCCCAAACCCGCGGATGATCCGCCCGCATGCCCAGCCCTACTCCCAGGCAGAAGCCTTCCAGGAGAGAAGGAGGGTTGTGAGGAAGGAATCTGTTTCAGTTGGCGGAGACGGATAACGCCGAATGCTACAGTCTACAGATATTGGTATTCTTTTTCTTTTTCTTTCCTGTTAGAAAACGTCTATACTCAGTCAGCCAACTTTGCTTTGGTACTAACTTAGTCACCATAGTTTCCAATGTCTTTCAATTAAGTTTTAATTCGACTTCAAGTCTTCAACCCAAGGTTACTTGATAGACACGTCAAACAAGAAAAGAAACAGAAATTAATGGTGACATCTGATATGATATCATTCCCGCCAAAAGCAAGAGTTTTTGCCTTTTTGGAGTTAATATATTCAATCACTGTACTGCTACTGGTTTGATACAAATTTGCTCTTTCAATATCTAATGACGGCCTGTATAATGGAGGAAAAGTAGAGGATGTTATATTGCAGAAGAGGATCTTCTTTCCAAGACTGGTGGAGCGTTGATGATTTCTTCACCAAGCTCTTTTATCTTGTTAAGCAGAAGTATTTGCTCGGTCTCGAGCTGCACCATGTACTCTTCTTGAGCCTCTGCTACACTTTCCATCTCACTCAAAGCTAATGAAACTGCATCAAGATTCCCACCTTCGACAGAAGATTTGAGCTTGCCCATCATCTGCTTCAACTGATCAACAAACACAGATAGAATGAGCAAAAGGGTGCACGAGGACAAAGCTGCGAGTAATTGCTCGACTTTTTTTACCTGGCCTGTAATTTGATGAGAGTTGCTCAAATAGCCTTCGGAATCCGAACTAGTTCTCTTTGGTTGTTCAGGGACTCGCCTGGTGACTCGAATGTGTATCTCGCCTCTTTTCACGCCTTGCAGAGGTATCCACTTGTCGAAAGTTTGGTTTGGAGGCAACCTTTGATACTCTACAACACAGTCACCTATACTGGATCCAGGTAGCAAGGCATTGTGGTCTTTGACATGCAACTCCAAGGGACTGCCATCATCAGGAAACTCTAACGTCTGGTTCCATTGTGGAGTGAGAGTTTTGAAGACTACCTTTAGATGGGGGGAAATTATATCAGGTGAAGATGCAAATGAAGTTGGTGAGCACCCATCTAGGTAAATTTCACAGCCCAGAAATGGAATTCAAAGATCCTTAACATATTATGTCAGCTCACCTTTGTCCGCCTCTTCAAGTTTCCATATTGCACCCTAACGTATGGATCACTTGTCCCTCTAAGATCGGCAGCAATAAGGTCCCTCCCTTCAATGATTTCAAGTTCAATCCAGCCAACAGGTGAACTTGATGTCATGCTCTGGAAAAATACCAGAGAAATGTTATCCCTTGACTTCAAGAAAGTTATGAGCTTGAATCCAAGAAAGTACCTTTGACCCATCATCCTCATCAACTTTCACTGCTTCTATCTGAAGCCGCAGTTCTCCTGAGTTTACTTTCTCCAGAGGAATCCATGCATCCCTTATTGAACCCTCAACTAAAGCTTCCAAATTTACCCTTGCACTACCGATGCTTTCATCTCCAAACACTTCTTCGGTATAGCTTTTGATCTTAAGGTATTCATCTCCTCCAATCTCTTCAAATTCAAACTTTTGGTTCCAGGTAGGGTTGGGAGAGTCTGAAGTCTTGGTCTTCTGGACTGCCTGAAAAAAGTAAGAGCGTCGCCGGAGGAACAAATTTCAGAAACCATAGCAATTAAGCATATTACATATATAAGGTCTTCATGTGAATTTGATACCTTTCCATACTGCAACTTGACATATGGGTTACACTTGCCAGATCTTTCTTTGACAGTTAAATCTTGTCCTTCCACAACCGTTACATTGATCTTTCGTCCAGTTCTTGATGGAAGAATCGATGATCCATCCACAGATTGTTGAGAGCTGCTTTTGTACTTGTTCAGGCTGTGTGTACCGTCCGAGAATTGCCATTCCTTTACCACAAGCATCACAGCCAACTGCAGAAATGAACAAGTCAAAATCATCAGATGATAAAGTAGCACAATGAGTAAGTAAAAATGGTTTTCTGCATATTGCACCTCCCCAAAGTTTGGCCCTTCGAATGGAACAATCATTTCGACTTCTCTTCCGCTGAACTCAGCATGCTTCGCAATTATATTAGAGTCAGGCCCTATTGCCCAAAAAACTGTTGAATCATCTGCAACATACTTCATCTGCTCAAAAAGGGCAAAAACAAAAATAAAGAAGAGAGGAAGAACATATAACTGATATTACCAGTAGAAAATATGACCCCTACTAATTAGTGTAGAGATTGAAGTCGAAGCATATATTTACTGAGACAAACTAGCAGCAAAGTCAATGATGACATATAGTAATTTCACTTCCTACATATCTATGACAGCATGGAATAGAAGCATGATTAACAATTGCATAGAAACACCGATCCAAAAAAATAGCATAGAAATAGAAATACTACACAAATGCACCAGTTATTTGCTCATGCTGTACAATGTGAAACACAAAGACCCTACCTTGATCTCACAACTTGCTAGATAGTCATACTTCACACTGCCAGGGTTACAGTTGCAAAGATTGAACCGCAACATTCCAGTTTCTTCATGTAGCACCATGTTGAAAGTCGAATTCCATTTAGGACTTGAGCCTGGCCGTACATTTGTCTTCCGTGTTAATTGACCAAGCTCGACTTCCACAAATGTCTGGTAATCTTTATCATTAACACCCTCTTCTGAACTCTGTTCCAGCTTTCTTGTTGGACTTCCCTTAAAACTAGCCCTAGAAATTTTACTAGCTGAAACAACCGTTACATGTACAATCCCACCAACAACCTTCTTTCTCAAGTCCACAGCCGGTAAGGAGAAACATCGACGTCGAGGCTCAACCATTGTTTTATCTAAGGTGTCAGAGCAAAGTTTGACCTATTTTAGAGACAAAAGAAAGACTTAGAATAAGAAGAATAAAGCTGAGGGTTTAGAAAATCATAGACCAAGCCATATTACCAAACTCTCAATTCTTGGGAGAAAGTACATATTCGTATTGTGACGGACATACCAGCCAAGAGGAAACCCCGGGAAGCTCAGTGGCAGGTAGATTTTGGCTTCCCCCACTTCCGAAAGCAACTCCTATTCTTACATCGGGAGTTGACACAAAAGAGTAAAGAAATGCTCTGCCTTCCAAAATTGGCATCAAGAGAAGCTGTATGATGAAACCATAGGACAAGTGGCATGGACCGCAGTCAAAAAAGAGAGAGCACATAACCAGCAAATAAAAGTAAGAAACATTAAAAGTCAACAAAGAGACTATATTTACACCCTTCACACAACAAATCATGATAAAATTTACTTACATCGCCCTTGATCTGCAGGCTGTTAATAACAATACGAGCAGTTCCCAAAGGCTTTGCGAGTTTAGCCAACAGCATGATGGTCATGTCACGAGTGTCCCAATCAAAACCCATGTGCATGACTAGCTGTTCAACATGTAAACAATAACAAAATTAGTGACAGGTCAAGAAGATCAGTTGAGTTTGAGAGAGACTCAAAATTACGGCCACTGGTAGGAATCTAAGGCTCTAAGCACATTTGTGCTGTCTACTGGAAATGAGGTGTACTTTTCGTGCTTAAAAGCTGCTTATCCACAGTCCACCGCACATGATAGCTGATTATCAACTGAAGCAGCTAGGAACCACAAGCTAACATAGAAACTAGACCATTTCAGAAAATAAGAACAGAGAGACTAGAAGCAACACCTGATCACCTGAAGTTGCCCAGCGAGTACCATTAAGGCCCAATCTAGGTGGGGATGAGCCTAGCGAAAACTCCTGCAGTTCAACCCATTCCTGCACAACCAAAAGGTAGTTGTTTCCTGGTAAGAGCGTACCGACACCACCAACTCCAATAATAGCATTCCTATCCTTTCACTCAAGCAATTGAGATATATCATACATGGCACTTACTATGAGCTTGGGTTTGCGATCTTTTAAGAGTCTCTGCTCCCAACAAAAGAAAGAAAGAAAAACAACTTAGATTGATCTGATAAACAATAGATACTGACAAGCAGAAAGGCTACAGAGGAAGATTTAAGATAACTATGGTATCCAACTTCAGTTCATCAGTATGTTAGTAACAAGATAGAAAAGAAATCCAACCTCCACTATGTTCGAGAACCTTGTCGAAAGCCTTGGGTTGAAATAATTCAGCCAAATTTCCAGCAACATCTTGTTCAGCCACTCACAGTGTTCTACAGCAGTTGTTGCCTGAATGGAAATTGAAACGATATGAATAATTTACCACCTTGACTACAACTGAAAATCACACTTTATAAGAATTAGCTTTTAACTGAAGGTAAGAATGTGAGCAAAAGTACCGATGTTCTTAATATAACTCGCTTCCACTTTCTGTTCAGATCTTCCACAAGCATTCTTTTCTGATGATTCGAATACTGCAATTCAAAGCAATAGCAATCATATATATTTTTCCTTTTGGAACACTGAAACAAAAATTGCCATATTGCCACTGATTTATGAGAAAGAGAACCCACAGATCACAACAAACATAGCTAAAGAAAAGCTGCAGCATACAATGCTTCTTTCTAAAGCAGTCAATAAACTATCTACTCAAACCAAAGTCAACGACAAGAAACAGGACAATTCTACACTATGAAAGCGTTAGCCAAGAAATCGATCCAACTCCAAAGAAAGAAACGCCATTAGATATGCCAAATCCTATTTTCTACCCGGATCAATCAAATCATTTCCTTCTTTTAGAAACGCCAGGATTAGCAGCAATTAAGAAGTATAGCTCCATCAAACACCAAAATTAATGCCATACACAGTGAGATCAGGATCAAAACTGGGAAACCAAGAGCAGATTGAAACAAGACTAAACAGGTGAAAAAGGAAGGGACTTTAACCTGCAGAAGAGCCCAAACCGCAACACCAAGAGGAACCCAATTGGACAGAGCGAAAACCCATCTCTCAATGCACCAAAGAAACAACAGCAAAGGGATCAAAAACGGGGAAAAGGGCTTCTTCTCTTCATAAAGAGCATTGAAGACCTCCGCAACTTGTTCAATGTTCATCCCTGCTACCCTGCGCATCATCCTCTTCGCCATTTTCGGGGGCCGCGATAAATTCAATTTACAAATTGCTGGAGGAGAAAAGTTGTCAGCTTTGGGGCGACATCATCAGATAAAGCAGGGAAATCTTCTCTTAGTTCGAGAAGAAGTTGAATTTGTGATCCTGGGAAGTTGGAAGATCGACTTCGTACTGGGAAAGAGAGCAGAAGGCTACTGCTTCCTTCTTCTGCCACCACTGATTTCCTCCCTTCCACCTTTTTCTTCTCCTTTCTCTAGCTTGGTCATTAATTGAAGAGAAATGGGAACGGTGAGATGGGAGAATCGAAGAGACTGGATGGCAGGCTAGCTAAGCATAGAGAGTTGCAGTTCACAACGGTTTTCTTACCATGGCCCCATATTCTTTATTCCTTTGTTTACGGGGAAGACGAGAAGCCTTGGTATCTTTTCTATGAAAAGTCCAAGTCAGCGAGGTGTCAGACAGGGAAATGAGTTTTTTCCTTTTACCGTTCAATCCTTTCCTCACCATTTCTTCATTCTATGCAGGGATGGCAATGGGTCGGGTTGGGTCGGGTTTTGTCAAACCCAAATCCAAATCCATGGGTTTATCTTTGAAAAAAGCCTGAGGTAAAACCCACCGGGTTTGAAAAACTCAAACCCAACCCAACCCGTTGGGTATCCGCGGGTTCATGGGTACCCACGGGTTTTGTGGTAAAAAATTTACAATTACAAGTTCTTATCAAAATTAAAGTCAAATATCAATCTCTCAATACAAATTATCCATATATAAAACACTATTCTAGAAAATTCAAGCAAATCACAAATTAACTATACAAATTGTTCAACACCAATCTAGAAAACTCAAGAAAATTGAAGCAAATCACAAATTATCCATAAATAACATGTTTAATTGAAAGCTTCTTTCTTTCAATTAAGTTTCTTTAGTCTCCACTCCATAACATCAACTTCATTGTACACAATTAAAAAGAAAAAATTAGACATGTCTCCACAAAAATAAATAAGAATAGTTGTTTAGAATATTAAATATACCGAAAAAATTAATTATATGAGTGGGCGGGTACCCACGGGCCGGGTTTACCTAAACCCAAACCCAACCCGGTGAATAGTGAACGGGTTTAAACCCAAACCCGGCCCAAAACCCGTCAACACGGATTTTACCCGCGTTGACCGGGTTGGGTCGGGTGGGTACCCGTGGGTTCGGGTTTTGTTGCCATCCCTAATTCTATGGTTACTACACTTACTAGCTTGGTACCCAGCCATTGGCCGAAATGTATTGCATTGGAATATCAAAACAACCTTAAATTTTCGTTTCTCTAAGCAAAAAAATTTAGACAAATGGATCATTATTAAATAATTAATGACACTTAGAAATAAACTTCTATGACTATTGGTCAAAGGAAAAATATAGAAGAAATTACGAGAGAGACAACTTAGTAAAGGTACTCCACCATATCATATGCATAAGATATGTAAAAAAGAAGGTAATAAATTATGGCAAATGTTTGTGCCACAATACCCGCTGGTACTCCTGAAGTTTCATTTCGCCTGGCGCCTGCCTACACACACAAAGAGGAGGGCGTCTGGGCCCGTTAATCCTCCGACGCCCAAGTCAGTTTCTTAGAGAGGGAAGTGTCCCGAAGTAGGAATTTTGGTGAGAGAGTCCAACCTGTGTAAATGCTGCCAACTGCCACTATTTATACTCACCGAACTCGAGGTTGATCTCCTCCACGTCACTGTCCCAATTTAATGCTTTGTGCCCTCTTTGTCAGACATCCAACTGCCTTGTCAGGCTTCTTACGCGCGACAGGCACCCGCAGGTAGTGGACCACCTGACAGCTTGTCTCTCCTTGGCTTTTAGTGTTTTGTCCTTTTGTACCCTTCCTCTTGCTTGGGCCTAGTAGTATTTAGTGGAACCATTTTTGGGCCTTGCCCCCCAATTCTACTGTTTGGGGGCCCAGACCACTAATTGCTGGGTAGTACCCCCCAACAATTGCCCCCCCAGTTAGTTGCTCATGGCTTCACCTTTGAGCGCCTGACTGATTCTCCTACCGCGGCCTTGTATCCTCTTTGCTTGTAGACGCCCGCTTTTCACGGCGCCCTATATTGTATTTTTATTCTCTTCATGGTTTGTGGGCGCCTTTATCGACCCTCCTTCGCTGGCGGGCGCCCCGCCTTTGTTGATGCTCCTTGTTTCGTGTGCTTCCTCTTCGTGATTCCTGGGCGCCCTTCGTGGAGTTCTCCGTGAGAGGTGTCCCTAGCCCTTATGCCCCCCTCACGGGGGGATTTTGACATGAGTCCCACGTTTAGTTGGTCAGGAAAATTCGAAAATTCGAATTTAAAAAATTCGAAATTGGAATTTTGGAAATTTCAAAAAAGAAAAAAGGTGGGGGGAAGCTCAAAAGTCCGCCCATGATATTGACACGTGGCGCGTCGGCGCGAGCCCTGACGTGGATTTTCGCTTCTTTTAAATACCCCCTCCCCCCTCAGTTCTTGTCACTTTCCACAACTTGATCTCTCTCTAAGATTTCGCTCTGACTTCTCTCTAAATTCTGCTCTGACCTCTCTCCTGTCACTCTCTGCCATCGTTACTCTTGCTTTCGTCAGCCAGAAATGTCGTCGCCGCAACAAGACAAGACTTCCGGCCAAGGTGCCTCGGGCGTTGGTGCGACTGGTGCGGGCGCTTCGGGCGCAGGCGCCTCGGGCGCAGGCGCCTCGGGCGCAGGCGGTGAGGCAAGGCGTCCGGCCCAAGGCGGTAAGGAATTTTCTTTCCCTCGTTGGTTTTTGTTGAATTCATTCTAGTTATCTAGGGTAGGGCGTCACTTACTCCGCGTCCACGTTGCGCCTGGGTCGTTTGTTGGTTTAGAGGGGGCGCCTGCTTCGATATCTGCTGGTCCATCAAGCGCCTCAACTCCCGGTTTTCTGCCTGCGGATGGGTCTTACAAGATCACAACGTGGGAGAAGTCCTTCCCTCCTGGCCATCTACCGGTGGAGACGGCTCATTTGCCCTTCGACGTGGCCGGGCCGAAGCATGAGTCAACCGTCACTTTGGCGCGCGTCCACGAGCTGGTTACCAGTCTTCAACTGCCACGTGATTGGTGGTACGCGCCCCCGTCCGCTATTTCGCGAGTTGGCGTCTGCGGGCCGAAGTGGATCGGGGTATACCAGGAGTACTTCCGGTTCGGGCTGCGTTTTCCCCTCGATCACATCATGGAAGGGATTCTGACTATGTGCGGCTGCCCATTGGGGCGCCTGTCCCCCTCGGTCATCACCATCGTTATTTTATTCAAGTTGAGGTGTCGGGAGCACAACGTGGCGCCCACGTTCAACTTGTTTAGGTATTTTTTTAAGATGGCCGAGTATGTGATCGGGGGGCTGGAGACTCCTCGGGGAACGGGAGGGGCGCCCGATCCTTCTGTTCCAACTTCGCCCTCTCCGAAGGCGCCCAGTGCTGAAGACGCCAATTCTGGAGCGGAGTAGAGAATGGGCGCTGCTTGAATCGGAACTTTTTTTTATGTTTATAAAAACGTTTCCGCTGGTGATGGAATCTTATCTTGGTGTTAATTGATTTTACTTATCGTTGATCCTTTCTTATGGCGCAAAAGATGAGGGCGCCTTGTAGCCGCGGGGCGCAAAGTTGGGCGCGAATTTGTTTTAACTTTGATGGCGCAAATTTGGGCACGTTATTGCTCCGACTTAGGGCACGATATTGGGGCGCTTTTGCAATTAATGGGCGCGAAATGGGGCGCTTTAACTAACTTGAAATTACTGGGCGCAAAATTTGGGCGCTTTTGGGTCATACGAGATGGCGGGAACAAACACGAAGTCACTATTGGGGCGCTAGAAAACCGGGCGCTTTGGACACAATACGACGCTATTTTACGGGCGCTTTAGTCACAATACAAACACACCTACACACTTGTCTTTGACATACACGAACACTTTCAACTATGACCGCCTTTTCCCCTTTCCAGTCCTTGTCAACTTGAGGCGCCCCCACTTGGTGTGGCGCTCGTACAGTAAAGCCGCAAGTTTTGAGCGTTCCATGTCCTTTTCACCACTCGGCCGTCCGTGTGCTCTAACTTGAACGTACTGGGTCCTACCACATCTCGGACTCGATATGGGCCTTTCCACTTTGGTGCTAACTTCCCCTCGCGGCATCCGGGCGAAAATCACGTTTGAGAACTAGGGCGCCCTCAATGATTCCATGGGCACGCATCTTCTTGTCGTAGTATCGGGCCACCTGCCTCTTCATTTTTTCCAGGCGGATTGCTGCCACCTTCCTCACTTCGTTCGCCATGTCTAGGTCATTGGACCGTGCCTCGTCATTGCCGCTTCGATCGTACTGGACAACGCGGTAACTTGGGGTGTTGACTTCCACGGGAATGACTGCCTCGCTTTCGTAGGTCAAGGCAAAGGGTGTTTCTCCTGTGGCAGTTTTGTAGGTCGTGCGATGCACCCACAACACGCTTGGCAGCTCCTCCACCCATTTACCCTTGGCGCCCGCCAACCAGGTGTGCAAGCCATGAAGAATACTTTTGTTGGCCGCCTTCGCTTGACCGTTTTCTTGTGGGTAGGCCACCGAAGAGAATCTCAACACCACCCCGTTGTCGTCACAGAACTCCACAAACTTCTTGCAATCGAACTGCTTTCCATGATCTGTGATGATGGACTCAGGCAAGCCGAACCGAGTGAATATATTCTTCCTGGTGAACTTGCGCACCTGGGCTTCTCTGACCGTGGCTAAAGGTTCCGCCTCTATCCATTTGGAGAAGTAGTCAACCGCCACTATCAAGTATTTCATCTGTCCGGGCGCCTTGGGAAAAATGCCCAATAGATCCATGCCCCACTGGGCAAATGGCCAGGCTCCTACGTTGCCTTGCATGGGCGCCGCCGGGATATGAATGTCATTTGCATGAATTTGGCACTGGTGGCAGGCGCCCACGTGCGCCTTTGCATCTCGTCTCATTGTTGGCCAGTAAAACCCCTGTCGCAGTAGCGTTTTTTCCAGGCTTCGTGCGCCCGCGTGCATGCCGCACGTTCCACCATGCACTTCCTCGATTGCCCCCCTGCTTTCCTCTTCGTCCAGACACCTCAAGTATGCTCCCGTATGGGATCTTTTGTACAACTTCCCCGCTATTATGGAACACCGGGTCACCTTTCGGCGGAGGCGCCAGGCTTCCTTTGGGTCATCAGGCACCACGCCTTAGGTAAGAAACAGTACAATTGGCGCCATCCATCCGTCAGCGGCGCCCCCACTTGCTAGGGTAGCGACCAGATGTTCATGAGGCGCCTCCGCGGTGACGATTACCTTTCGTTCTTCCGCGAAGTCCACTGCGGTTGTTAGCTTGGATAAAGCATCTGCATGGGCATTCTCTTCACGTGGGACGTGGATGAAATAGATTTCTCCGAACCAA